TCAACAGTAGATTGAGTGAATTTCACATTATATTCAAGAGATTATATGCTTGGAAGGGGATAATAAGTATAGAGAGAGTGATTATAAGACATCTCACATATGAAAACATCAACAGCTTAAGAGAAAGCTCTCTCAATAGCAGGATCTTAGGGTGAATTCTTGGGCAGCTGGTCTAGAGACTTTGAAAGCTGCTGAAGCTCTAGCTGCTTTATATAATTTAGGTAGAGAAGATCCTTGAAAGGATTTGGAACAGGATTCAGATGAGAGTAACTAGTCAATTTCAGAGGTACTTTGAGTTTCCTAGTAAATTTGATGGGGTAGTAGGTATTTGTAAACCAGTATTATCTGTATAAGCTTTTCGGGAACTTTTGTTCTACACCTCTATGCTGTTTCTTGATTTTTTTTCTTTATTAGTTTTTGTTTTTTTCCTATTAGCTCTAGCTGTGCTTTCAATAATAAAAGCTTTAATATATTTCTTTAAACTTTTTGAGAGAAAATTTAATATTAGTTTTCAAACTATATATAATATTAATATTAACTTGTTATTTATTCGATGTTGAGTTATCTAAATTAAAAAAAATTAAAAATCTATTATTAAAGTTCTTAATTTAATTTATGTAAAGCTTTTTTTTAACGATCTTTTATTTAATTTTTTATCTTAATATTAATTAATTCAATTAGCTAGACTTAAAAGATTAAGATATATTGCACAGAAATGTAAATTAAGAGCCTTTAATAGATACTATACTAATACTAATAATAAGGGAGTGCATTTAAATTATAACTTATAAGCTTCTACTCTGTTTCTTCAAATTCAATAAGCTTTTACTAGATAATCTTATCTACTAGTTTTTAACATTATTTCAGAGATCTACCATTTCTATAACACTATTTCCAAGAGTAGTTGAAACTTTAGCAGTCTTTCAAGCTTCAATTCTTGTAACTAAGAAATTTTATTCAAGATTAAAATTTTTCAGACACTAATATTTTTACTCTTTAGACTTTTGAAAGTTATTTTCTTAATATAAGATTTTTTATAAGCAAGTAATCTCTTGAATATAGCGTAGAGTTTGCTCAATTTGTTATTAATTTTTTTCCTGTAGAAGCTTTTTTCAAGTATTAAGTCAGACTGTTTTTTGCAGTCTTACTTTTATATATACTTAATTATATTTAACTTATCTGATTCAAAAAGTTAGTACATCTTATAAAAATTACATATTTTTTTAAGTAAAGGAAATAGATGCAAACAACTCTATTTCTTAAATAATATTATTCAGCTGATATTTAACATATTATTTCTCTACCAGAACAATAAGCTTGAGGATAGGAACTTTTTAGATAAAATATTAACAAGAATTTATTTAAAAAATATAAAAGATATTTTAATATTTTAATATGTAATACATATATATATATTAAAGCTTTCTGTTCATTTTTAGTAAATTTGAATGTAGACTTTCTTCCAGAGCTTTTTGTTATTATAAAGCTATATTTAATACCAAATATTTGTTTAAAAAATTTAATTTTTTCTGATCTTTTTTTCTTATTAATATAATTCGTTTCTGAGTAAAACACTTCTTTAAGCAAGACATAAATTTGAATATACCCTAATTAATAGACCTGTTTCTGAATTTAATTTATAAAATTTAAAGTTATTTTTCAATCTTCATATAAAGAATTTTTAAAAAAAAAAATATATTTCTTATATAAGAATTTAATACTTGTAGTTTAAGTGTTGAAAAAACTTTTTCTTTTCAAGAACAATAAGATATTATTATTTTTTAAGAACTTTGATATTTTAAATCTTAAAAAAATACTTACCTTAAAAGATAAGTACTAAATTTTCATAAAAATAGAAATATTTTTATAAGGCCTTTCTTAAAAAATACAGAAAAGGAGTTTAATATTATAATTATAAATCTTATTCTTTTGCTCCAAAAATTAATCTAAATAATTTACCTTTAGTTAAATATTTTTTATTTTCCTCATCTAAATTTAAATTAAATAATAAACAAAACTCCAATTTAATTAAAATAATAAACCTTTTTAATAAAAATTTTTCAAAAGAGAAAAAAGATATTTTTAAAATAAATTCATACATAAAGAAATTAGCAATAAAATATTATTTTCCAGAAACAAGATAAATAATAATTTTATTAACGTAAATTTTTCTTATTTATTATTTAAGAATTAACATTTTATTTTAATAATAACAGACAGCTTCTTTGTTAGCTTTCTTTTAAAATATAAATAAATCTAGCTATTTAAGGAAAATAATAATTCTTGTAGCAGTGTCATACAAACAAAGGAAACAAACTTAACAACTTTGGGAAAGCCACTGTCTAGTAGCTATTCCAGTATATTTCAAAAATAAAACTAGCCATTTTAAGCCTAATTCAGTTTCAAAAATAAAATTTAAAGATAGTTGAGAAATATCAAGTTCTTGTTGAATTTTTCTTCTTTCAGTATAATAAGCTGAGCAGTCTAATAGTAGATGCTTTGAATTTTCAACACAATTACAGAAATAGCATAAATTGGAAGAGTAGTCAGATAATCTTATTAGATAAAATCTGAAATATCTATGACCAAGCTTTAATTGACAAATAATTGACCATATCTGCTTAAATGTAGAAAGAGTAGATGCTTTCTATCTGAATTTTATTTTGAATTGAGAGTAGTGATTTGCAGAACTTTCTCTATTAAAAAGATCTTTAAAGCACTCTATCATTACTTGTTCTTTTATTTGTCTTTTTATATAAGTAAGAGATATATATCTTTCAGAACAAACTTGATTTAATTCTGTAGCTTTCTTTGCTACTAGATTAGCTTCTTCATTTTCATGTATATTTACATGTGCAGGAACCCAATGAAGATGTACCCCCTGGCCCTCAGCCATCTTAGCTCTGGAGTTCTAGGCCCATCCAGGGGTCAACCAGGCCTGTAGGGAATGCAAACGCAGGGGAATACACCTTAAGCTATTATACATGCGCCTATAATAACTGACTGCTGCAAACTGTCCTCTCAAGCCAGCATTAACCATTCTGATTCTAGTTAAGCCACTACTGCCCAGCCTACTGATTTAGTAACTAGTTCTAGAAGCTAGCTAGTCTACTAGCTACTAAACCCCATCTTCCAGTTGCTAATCTCTGCATCCCAGCCTACCAATTAGCTGTTGTGGTCTCGCCATTAATGACTAACCAATTATCTTAAGAGATAGTTGACTATCTCAAGAGATAACCAGGGGTGCTTTTGTCAGGTGGTTTTCAAATCTATTTCCCTGAATTGGTACCCCACTTAGTCACCCAATTATTAGTTATTATTGAATCACTAGATGGAGTAGCTTTTAGTAGTGCAGTGGAGTCTACCCACTCACATCATTTTAACTTCACCAGATGCTAGGTGGACCTATTATCTCTACCCAATTATCAGTTATTATTAGATAATAGATAGTAAGTAGCTTTTAGTAATGCAGTGAAGTCTACCCACTTGCATTTATTTTAGCTTCACCAGATGCTAGGTGGACTCACTATCTCTACTCAATCATCAGTTATCATTAGGTAAAAGATAGTAAGTAGCTTAGTAGAGCCATGAGCATACATGGGTTGCCTTTTACACCACAACTTTGGTGGGTAAAAAAGTGTGCCAGTTGAAGAATTTGAACCCCGCACTCTAGAGTGCACCTGCAGCTCATTTTATCAGTGAGCTACCTGGCTAATAGAAGTATAATTTCTCTTTCTTCCTCTATTCTTTTTCTTTCTCATCAAGTGTGTCAACTTTTGTTGTATCCAGCTTCATGGATGTGTGTCTGTAAGAGTCTGGCTGTATGTGTTTGCTCCAGTCTTGATCTTCAGTGTGATTTAATAAACTAGATTGCTTTCATAATGCTTTTTCTTGCTTTTTCATCTTTTGTTTGTAAAGTCAGTTTCCAATTCTGACTGCTACTTCAATTATCTTGATCAGAGTATGTAATCATTTCTTCAATCATATTATTTCATTTTTGATCTTATTAAATAGTTCTTGATAAAGAATGTTGGCTAAAGCTTCATTATTCCAATTAGTATTGATGCAGACTTGCTGGAATCTTATAGCATAGTCTCATGATGATGTCTTTTGTTATATATAGTGTAACTGCTGGGCTGCTGCATTTCATTTCTTAACTTCTCTGAAATTGATTTTTAATATCTGAATAAAGATGTTGTAACTGTCAATAATCTTAAGCATATTGTTGTTCTGATTAACTGTCTTTTTCATAATAATTCTGCAGGTAGGTGTTGAACTAATTAAATACTGCTCCACAAAGATATGATGCTGTTATTATTATCTTGTCTTTATTGTTGCTGAGTTCTTTGCCTTTCATATTTATATAGATGCACAGTTGTTCTAAGAAAGCTTGTAATTTTTCTTGTTTGCTCTTGAAAAGTTCTGATGAATTGACTTTGACTTTATCTTTCTTTTCCTGTTGTCCAGTGAATAGAATGGCCATGATCTGAATCTCAAGCTGCTTGTTATAATCTTTTAATTCATGGTTCTGCTCTCTAAGTCTCTCAGTAATCTGTTCAAGCTGCAAGATTCTGTTTATAAGATCTTGAATGTTGATAACTGGTGCTTTGAATACAAACATGGTTTTTATGTTCTATTAGATCTTGATGTGAAGTGGGGGTTGTATCTTTATGCTTTGAAGTGACACAGAAAGTTCTTTCTTTGTATACAATCTCTGAGATCTCAGATGTATTTTCTTCTGAGTCAGAAGTGATTAATATGTTGTGTGTGATGGGAACCTTCCTGAATTCTTTGGAGCTTGAAGAGTATCAAAGAACTCAAAAAGAGTGACAACAAATTAAAGATAGTGATTAATAATTTAATAATGCTTTAGTTGAGTGAATAGTCTTGCTCTGATGACAAAGAATTTCTGTGCAAGTATATTAGAGTCAGAGCAAGACTATCATATCTTTTCAAGGGTAGTGGGATCAGGTACAATCATACAGTATCACAAGACTTTAATGGTATGGAAAGTAACCAAGGTATGAAGATATCTGATTCAAAAATATCTATAAGATAATAAGAAAAGTTAATCATGATGAACAAGTTCATCAGATCTCTGGTAATGAGTGTTCTTATATACATGATGCTTTTCTGGTGATACTCATAATACTTTCTTCTAAATTGCTTGTGTCATAGTATCACAATACATAATACTCCCTTCTTTATATCTTGTCTTGCTTGTATCACCTTCTGGTTATGTAACTTCCTGTTCTAAGATTTCTCCACAACAGTCTGTGACTTTATCTTGTCAGATCTTGTCCAATCATTCTGTGCTTTTGGCTGCTGTGCCACAAGATTCATAATAACTAGAGAGCTTTTTGCAGGAAAGCTTTCAGAAACTAGCTGAGAATATTCTTAAATTTAGTAGTAAAGACTCACATTCAAGATACCAGAGCCAATACTATAAAAATAAGGTATATTCTAAGCAGAAAAGTGAGAAGGGCAGCTGGGCTTTTCCAGATGTAGCAGCACCAGAAAGCTAGCATATCTTTTATCAGATGGAAAAGATAGCAAACCTGTTAAGTCACTAGAAATCTAGCTTGATTTTTTTCTTAAATGCAGAAAAATTAATAAAGACTGTGCTGATTTGCAAGGTAGCCTATATTTTAGCTTGTTTCTAGCTCAAAAACTTAGTTACTATAAGTATTTGAAAAGCTATTTTTCACTAATTAATTCTGATTTCTCAGCTACCAAACAGTATAGAACATACTAGTATTTAGTAGAGATTGGTCAGAATTTGCAGGGATCAATTTGGCTCAGCTATATCAAGAGTATCAAGTTGATAGAGCTGATTTAGTGCTGGTGTGAAGCCTGAGGAGCAAAGATCAGATAAGAAGGAGTAGAGAGATAAGATGCAAGTAGATAAGATAAGATAAGAGCTCTAGCTTAGCTTGACACATCTCAACAAAATGTGAGTAAGCAAGAGTCTTGGCAAGGAAAATCAAAATAAGAGTGTCTGGTAAGAGATTTTTCAGATAAAAAGAGTGTAATAACACAACAAATAATAGAGATATAGTAAAGAAAATTTGGTAGTTTGTTTAAAAAGTGTTATTGAGCTTGTCTCTCAAAATTCAGATGCAAAAATCATGTGGTTGCTGAGTAATAGTGTGAGAAGTGTTTTTGACAGGCATGAGGCTGGCACCATTTATTTCCACTTATACCTCAACAACTGGCAAGCCAATTCACATTAAAATTGGAAAAGTTATTAGGTAGAGGAATAGCTTTCAAATGAATGTAATTTTGTCCATTTTGAACAAGAATTGACTGAGCTGTGAAAAGAGAGTGTGTGTGACAACATCAGATGTTCAGGGGTACTCACATGACCTCAACTCTGAATGTATAAGAATCACACAATCTGCACAGATTATAGAAACCTCAGTGTTCAGTCTTCTAGTTAGAGTACTCCTATATTCTACACACAACTCCCCCCCATCAGTTGCAGACATTGTATCTACTTAGCTTCTTTGTACCTTTAATTCTGAGAAAAACTATATAATCTACAACTTATTCTTCTAACATTCTGAACACTTCAACATACAATTGCCTAAGTCAGTACAATACCATCAAGACTTACAAGATAAACCATAATAACACTTCATGTTGCAGACTTAACAGAGACAAACATCAATATGAAGAAAACAAATATTGACAAAGATACTTGTAGTAGTGGAGTCACCATCAGCAAAACACCAGCCAACAATATAGATAACAGAGATACACCCCTCAATACATTAAATGAAATTCAAGAGAAGAAGACTTTTAAAGAAAAGAAGACACATCTGCAAAAGAATTTAGCAGACATATATAAATAAAGCAAGATACACAGACTGCAGAAGCAGATAGAATACAAACAGAGAATAGCAAATAATAATTTCTCTTTAGAGTTTCTCTTACACATATGACTGACAGAGAAGTCAGATAATTTCAACAATATAAAGTTTTTAAAGACATCTTACTATTATAGCAAATCACTTAATGAGTGTAAACATCAGATGGCTCACTGGTAAAATAAGCTGCAGTTGCACTCTAGAGTGTAGGGTTCAAATTCTTCAACTGGCACACTTTTTTACCCACCAGAGTTGCAGTGTAAAAAGCAACACATGTATGCTCATAGCTCTACTAAGCTACTTACTACCTCTTACCTAATAATAACTGATAATTGAGTAGAGATAGTGGGTCTACCTAGCATCTGGTGAAGCTAAAATGAATGTGAGTAGGTAGGCTCTACTGCACTACTAAAAGCTACTCCACTTAGAAATCCAATAATAACTAATAATTGGGTGACTAAGTGGGGTGCTAATTCAGGAAAATGAATTTCAAAACCACCTGACAAGAGCACTCCTGGTTATCTCTTGAGATAGTCAACTATCTCTTGAGATAATTGGTTAGTCATTAATGGCAAGACCACAACAGCTAATTGGTAGGCTGGGATGCTGAGATTAGCAACTGGAAGGCAGGGTCTAGTAGGTAGTAGGCTAGCTTAGCTTTTAGAGAACTAGCTACTAGATCAGTAGGCTGGGCAGTAGTGGCTTAACTAGAATCAGAATAGTTAATGCTGGCTTGAGAGAACAGTTTGTGGTGGTTGGTTATTATAGGCACATGTATAATAGCTTAAGGTGTATGCCCCTGCATTTGCATTCCCTACAGGCCTGATTGACCCCTGGATGAGCCTAGGACTTCAGAGCTAGAGTGGCTGATAGCCAGGGGCCACTTTATTCAAATCAATATAACTTTCAGAAAGCTAATTGGGATGAAGTAAATAAATCTCTTCTTCAAAATCTAGAAAAAGAAGAATTTCAATGGACTTCAATAAAAAATACTCCATCAGAACTTGAATTAGAAGCAATTAAATTAAGAAATCTAATTCAAATCTCTATTGAGAAACACATTCCCAAAAAGAAAATAACTGAAAGATCTAAGCCTTGGTGGAATAATGAGCTAAAAATCAAGAGAAAAGCTATAATAAAAGTCTTTAGAGAACTGAAGAATAAGCAAGTTAGCTTAGAGTTCTTTTAACAAACTAGAAATAACTACTTTAATGCTATTAAAGAGGCAAAGTTATCTTGTTGGAATGAATTTCTGGAGAAGGCTCAAGAAAAAAAGATTTTTAAAGCATATAAATATACCAAAGAAAAAAGAGTGGAAAAGACTTTTATTTATTATGGGCCTAGCTGAAGTTGCTAGCTAAGACTCTATATACACAAACATACTGCTTAAAAAGAGAGAGAAAGGATGGTAGGCAAGCATATGTACAATATATTTGCAACATTAGTGCATGGCACTAAGCCAAAAGAGGAATAGTGTGGAGGTCTTTTACATGACATGCCATCAAGAATTTATCTTAAGAAGAGTAGAGATCTAACTTCTTACAATATTCTCTCTTCTACTCTTCAGGTGTTGTGCTGTTATTAATATTTACAGATGCTAGAGATCTTGTCTTAATGCTTACAGCATTCTTATCTATCAAGAGCTACTCTCTTCTTTATAAGCATGGCATCATTTCACATTGGGTGTACATATTGTTTTCATTTAACAAGATATTTAAGATATTAGCAGTTTCTCTACTTCTTGAGAATCTCTTTTATTTTATACTTCTTCTCTTTCTCAGTAATAATCTCTGATAGCTGTTAATTCAACTGTTGCTGGCTAGAGAAAGAATCTGTAGCAGCTGGGCAGAGAAGCTGCACATGAAAGACATTGTAAATTTTCAGTAGTGTATTCAGACAGTAGCTATATGAGCTAACCATCTTAATAATTGTGAACTTGGCATTCTTTACATCTAACTTCTTGCTTATGTAGTCTGTCTTGATGTTGTGCAGGTCTAGCCAGACTTTATCTTCTATTTTGAAGTTCCATAAAGATTTATGATTGTAGTTAGTATACTTCTCTTGTTTTTGTTGGGCAGCAGTTATTACAGACTGGACTTATTTGATAGCAGTCTGTATTTTGTGTATAATAATCTCTGCTTGTTTAATAAAATTATATAACAACTAGTTTATAAGTAGAGTATTGATCTTGAGATTCAGAAGACTTATATTATATCTGTGTATTAGAAAGAAGAAGCTTACTTCTGTTGATACAGTATTACAGTTATTAATTGCTAACTCAGCTAGTGACAGTCATTAGGCCCAGTCATTCTGTGTGAAGTTAATGAACTTTCTAAAATAAGTCTTTAATATTTGATTCATGCATTCTGTGAATCTGTCAGTCTTAGAGTGTGTGGTTGTGGAGAGATATCTCTTGATTTTCAATAGCTGGCACAGATAGATTCAAAAGCCATCTATAAATTATAATTTCTGATTGAAAATAATAGCTATAGATAGTTCATAGCAGTAGTATATGCTTTGTATGAAGACTTAAACTACTGTTATAACTTTAATATTCTTGCATGATTTAAAGATAACTTTTTTGATAAGTTGATCTGTAATAACTATAATGTTTGTATATTCTTCTGATTCTGGTAAATTAATAATAAAGTCCATTGAGAGTTCTGACTAGATTTAATTAGAAATAGACAGAGGCTTCAGTATTTCTTTCTGATAATTTCTTTATGTTATTGTTGCTCAGCAAAGATTACAGTTCTGTATAAAGCACTGTATATCTTTAGCAAACTCTAATCAAAAATATTCACATATAAGTATAGAGATTATTTACTCTCTACTCAGATAATCTGTTATTATTAAATTATAAGTTTCTTGCATGATCTGTATGTGTAACTCTTCAGAATTCAGAATTCAGCACCATCTCTGAAAGCAGAGTTTATTATTATTATTAAGCAAGCAGTCTGATACAGATATCTTCACTAGAAGTTTAGAGAGAAATTATAAGTATTTATTCTTGAAAGCTTGTTCTATCTCTTGAAGTTGTATGTCTATAATATATATGTGTTTCCAGTGTTTAGCTAATGATAACTCTATTGTATTATCCACTCTGGTGGCATGGCAGATTATTACACTGTTTGTGATCATATAAGACTTTAGTAGCTGTGCTTCTTGATTTTTCAGCTATTTATTATCAGTGTTGACCAGTATATCTTAATTACATCAAGTGCATTCAGTTCTGTATTAAGCTTCTCAGAGTAGTAATTAATGTGGAAGTTAAAGTTGTTCAGAGTGTCCATTTATTGCAACTGTCTCTTATTAAGATATCATCAGATCATGAAGTACTCTAGATTCTTGTGGTCAGTAAGAATTTTGAATTCTTTCACACTATAAAGCTCAGAGTTCTATTCTTATAGATACTTCATCACAGCTAACAGTTTTTTATTATAAATCTCATAATTGCATTCAGCAGGCATGTTCTTTCTTGAGAAATAAACATATGATTATAGTATGTTCTTTTCATTGTATTGCAGAAGCATGTCTTCTATTATATAGTCTGAGAAGTCTATCTTAATTACTGTTTTATGACTTGTATTAAACTGTAGAAGAATAGATGCAGTAGTAAACATATTCTTTAGAAGTTTAAAGATATTATTGCATTT